TTTCATAATAAACGTGGCCACACTGGTCACTGTAAAGCCAACCAACGTCGCAATGTGTTCAGCGGGATCGAACAACTTTTAGTCCTTTTTTTTATTAGTATCAACTTCCCGGGGGGCTGTCATCGGGCGACCACCGTCATCGGTCATCCCCATCCGGACCAGGACGCGCCCATCCCTACACCACCAGGTCCAGGCCCCCGCGAGGAAAGTTGACTGGAGCCAAATCTGAAGATTCGGAAATATTCGGAAAAGTAGCCGAATCTCAAGCGATTCGGAAAAGTTCGGAAATATTCAAAGCGTTGCCATGGTTGCCAGATCACGTTGATGAGTGTTTCAACTTTTCGTGATACTAAATTCACTAAATTCTACAAAGTGCACAAAATAATGTTGTAATATAATATCATAGTAATTAATAAAATGCTCCGCTTTGTTTATAATATTTTGGATGTTTGTCGAGAATGGAAACCAGGCATCGCGGGAACATTGGTTTCGGTTTCGGATTACGACCAAAATAGGCATGCTTGGTGCACGTCGAAATACAAGCATACAAGCGCATGTTTTCATCGCCCGAGTGGCTTGGGCGGTTCGGCGACAGCCGGTTGTGGACCAGGGACCTCCGGCGTTGTCGGCGGGGCCATGGCAGTGACAACCGCGGCTGCCCTTCCAGCGAAACGCAAGCATGAAAAGTTCCCCGTGGATCTCGTCAGGCTGGGCGTGGCCGCCCCAGCCCGGCGGGATTCAGCAGACGTGCAGCCAGTGCAGCGGCGGGTCGACGGAGCGAGCCGATGTTTACGTGAAGATCAAGTTCTCATACTCCGGGGTTACCAGAGACGTCGACCGCGCTCGTCCGAGGTTCGAAGCAGTCCCCCCCCCCCCACAAGAGATTGATGCCGTACGTGCAGTTCGGCAGGAACACATCTCGTGCCCATAATTACGGTCATAGTAGCACCAGTAGCACACACCACACATATGTAAGTATGTTCGATTCGATTATCTTTAACGTGTGTCCACTGCGGTATTGTTATCGAAACACGGGAAACAATCTAAAAGTCCTTGCGCCATACTATGTACGGCGGAAGGAGTATTTGTACCTTTCTAGTTAATGATATCTTAATTAGTGTTTGTTCCTGAACAATAAAGTTGCGCTAGACACCCCTATGTTGTTTCTTTTTCATCAAATAAAGTTCTAGTATACAATACTTGCTGCCGAGACGAAGAAACGACAGTGCCAGTGTGACGTTTTTCTTCGCCGGTGCCGTACGCGGTCGAAGCTGGGACGAGCAACACTTTTCATCGCTCTCGCGTCTTACGCAGCTAGCTCTAGAAAAGGAGACGAATCATTTCCTTGCCTGAATATATTTATTGAGCGTTGCGCCACATTATGTATAATAGACAGCATTTCGCTACATTTTACCGATCCCCTCGAAACCGCACAGAAACCAAAACCGTGCATTTGTTAGGCCTACGCCAACCACACCGATCAGCTCAGCTGGACCTGGGCGCGTGCCAGGATTTAGAATGACAGTACAGTACATACCATAAGTTGAAGTAAGCAAGACGAAATCTGGAACACAACTGACCGCATTCGCGAGGTTTACGACAAGGTTCATAGTGCCGTCTGCAACCAGCAACGAACCTGACGAATCTCCGAATCTGCCGAATATTCGTCACGGGAAGTTCGGAAATTTCCGAATCCGACCGAATCCGAATCTCCAGTGATTCGTCCCATCACTACTTAGATTGGAAAGCCGAAACACCAGTTAGCGTTGCGGGAAAGGTTTGCTCCATGCATACCGCCTAAAAACGAATTGACGTGCAATTGAACAACGGTGCGCCGGTATCGGCGTGCTTCCGTCTCGCTGCGAGACGGAACCGACGGAACCAGGGAATCTGACAAATTTGGGGGTTTCCTGCGTCGACGAGCCGGTTCAAGAATGTTTTCTTTAATTGAAATCGTAACAGCATGCATGGTCAATAGGGAGTATTCACTGGACGCCATATTTGAGGGCGATGTTTAGAGCGCATGCTCGGAACGAGCTCACGTTAATAGGCTCCTAAGACCGGCAATCTTGGTGGTGCGAAACGCACGTGGCGAAAGAACTATGGAAGCACACCGTCAGCACAGGCTCAGCAGTCGCGCACATAGCTATGGCCGCCAGTAAATACGCCCTATAAATACAGGGTGAAACAAGGAGACACCAGGCTCTTTAAATCGACCGGAAAATTCGGTTTCTTAACCTATCGCGCCACGACTTTGTGCAGCGTTGCCCACAGATGGTGCACTTTTTTTGTAAAATTTGCAAAGAGCGAACTTACCTGAGGAAAAAGTAAAGAAAGAAAAAGGCTTAGCTCCTATGGAAACGCAGCGACGCCACCGGTCTTCAAACAACACGGCGCCGTTTCGCACGGGTCACAAGAGATGGCGCAACGAACGCCGCCAACGAACGAGCAAACGGCGCCGAGAGCCAGCGCCTCAAGCAGACAATCTTTTCGACTCAAAAGCGGAGCGCGTTCCGCGGGCGGCGACAATCGCAGAAACAAAAACAAGTGCGGTAACAACAAGGAACTGCAGTTCCTGTCTGCGTCGTCTGCTCGTTCGTTGGCGGCAGTTGGCGTCACGACCGCTTGCGCCATCTCTTGTGGCCCGTGCGAAACGGCACCGTGTTGTTTGAAGACCGGTGGCTACGCTGCGTTTCCATAGGAGCTAAGCCTTTTTCTTTCTTTACTTTTTCTTCAGGTAAGTTCGCTCTTTTCAAATTTTACAAAAAAAATGCACCATCTGTGGGCAACGCTGCACAAAGTCGTAGCGCGATAGGTTAATAGCGAGTTCGTTTCATGGCACTCGTGCCCACGCGTGCCCACTCGCAGCAAGGAACGGGTTCGTTTCGGCCGGCGCTCCACGAGTGGTTGCACTCTCCGAGTTCGTTTCATCGCTGACACCCCACGCGTGCATGCGCTCGCTGCACCGAGAAAATCGGGAGTGCGCCAAAATGCAATCCCGTCATGCCTCGCTCCGGCGGGGCCGGCGAGGAGCGGGAGCAGACGACGAGGGTTCGTCTCCTACGATATGTGGCGGAACCGAACGGAAAAAAAAGAGGCGAGGAACAGACGCACAGTGCTGTCTGTTTCTCGCCTCTTTGTCCCCGTTTTTTGAGCGCTAAAATGTATTCCAAAAGCGCACTGTGCTGTCTGTTTCTCGCCTCTTTGTCCCTGTTTTTTGAGCGCTAAAATGTATTCCAAATTCTAAAACCAACTAGCCCAACAATCTACTCTACGGAAAAAAAAAAAGTAGATTTTCTGATAGAAATCATGTCCCGCGGGCAACGAAATCAAACGCGAACTTGAATTGTGAGCGCCTGCTATTTCACGAAGGAAGCAATTGACAACCCGTGATTCATTTGCAGGTTTTAAATCACTCTGTTGCCGTAAAAACGCTGAAATATACCAGTGTGTAAAGAAATGCTCAGAACAAACGCAACAGCGGCCCTCGAGATTTCTATCACCATCCGTGTGCGGGTGAAAAATTGAACATTTGTCGATAAAACTCCCCCTCTGACTACCCAATAAGCATCAAAGAAAGCTAAAGATGGTGACTTTACCCGAGGATTGGGCAACATCATCATGTTTAACATTTACCTAAGCAGCTAACTTGCCCCGTCGTATTTTGTTCGAGAAAGCTCTCGTTCTCGACGCCCTCACCAAAGCTAATATCTAATCCACCTATAGTGACGATTTAAATCGAAAATCCCAGTTTCGCTGGATATTCTAACAGGCTAGTTTTAAGCCGTACCCTTTCAGTGGTTCACGCATAATACCATGCTCAAACGGATCAAGCATCTGCTCGGACAGCATCATTAGTTTTCTTCAGTGTAAACGGTTATAAGAATTGAAAGATCGCAACCAGCTACTTTGTAGACAGCTGGTTGCGGAAATTTACGCCGTCTGTAACTAGCTCTACGGCAGCCGAGCTGCTTGAAGGCATTGCAACTACAGGCTGCAGTTGCCAACGTTAGTAGATAAACGTTGGTAGCAACTGCATTCTCGCATTCCCACGCATCGCTCGGAACCTCTATGCTCGGAACAGAAAGGCGCTAGTTTCGGTTTGAAGTCGGTGCCTTTTCTACAACATAGATGGCGGCAGCATCAGTCTTCTGCACTCGGTGCATTTGGCAAGTTCGTTTGAGTCCAGTTTTCCGTGCAACACTCTGTGAGTGCGATGCCTTCTGTTAGAGAACTCGAACGGTGCCAGTGCGTGCGAAACGAACTCGCTATAAGAGACCGAATTTTTCAATTAATTTGAAGAGCCTGGCGTCTCCTTGTTTCACCCTGTAGATCGGCCATGGTAACCTTCCAGATATGTGCACGAAACGGGTCTTAAAACCTTTCAGGAATATTAAAACGTTCGTAGAAACTTCATACGTTGCAGTCTCTTTTGCTTTAGAGTCTGCGGCTCCACACGGGCCTAATTATTTATCTTCGAAATATTTTCGGCTTCTGCCACCCGTATTCACGGTCGGAAGGAGCTTACTCGATCTACCGATCTAACTCTAGGGTAAAGGTGGTTATCGAAAACCTACCCGCGTCCAGCGTTTCTCTATTTTTGTTGTCACGTGACATAATCGGCCAGTGTAACTCGGATCCATTCGAGTAGGTTTGGAACGCAGCCTCGGTGTATCGCGCTCTTGTACGCTATGCGCCGTTTAGTTGCTGCGCTCGGAGTATGAAACTCGGAGCGTCGGAGTAGAAGTAAAGAAGCGCCGACTTAACGCGCCCACTATCCGCACTCGGAGTGCGAATAGGGACAGCCTGGATGGACTGGCTCGACAGTTATCTATTCGGACGTGACACGCCCGGCGGCGATGCTCTAAGCTCGTCTCTGTCATTTCGGCATGCGTCTCACTTCAAACTTTGAATCTACAACGAAAACTAGCTGGATATCCCTTCAAATATGTTCAATCAACACGCTATCGAATCAATTTAAAAGAGAAACACTTGCTTACCGGCGGTTAGCGTTTCCCGAAGGTGCTCCGGCAGCCGTGCACAACCTACGGTCGTTGACTAGACGCAGCGTCCATCAGCGTCTCCCAGATATCGTTTGTTACTCTTGACAAAGTACCTGTAAAAGAAAAAAGAAAAAAAAAACCTAAAGGAATCGGTTTAAAGGTAGAAATGAACGCAAACCACAGAGCGACGTCGACGACGGCGCGGTTCCCATTCGTATGCCAGACTGTGCCAGACCATCTGGAACTACGGAGCAAGTGGTGGTCACAAACGCAAAACTTTAAATGCTCTTTTTTTTCTTTTTTACTTTTTCTTTTACACGTCGTATAAACAACGGCTTTTTTTTTAACGCGCCTGCGACAATATTTTTGGAGTGACCGCTTTTGTGCAAAATTGTTTTGGTGCTACTGTAAATTCTGAATACTTTTGGTTTCGGTTTCGGAAACCAGGTGGAGAAAAAAAAAAAAAAAAATAACGCTTTCGGAAACACTAGTAGCATCTCTGGAATCGTGATTTGAAAGGGAGATTGGAAATGACGCTTTCTTTTGTTTTAGTACAAACTCTGCCTTTATTTTTTTATTTGTGCTTTTTTTAACAATTGTGCTATCCCTTCGTCGCGTAGTACAAACTGTGCCTGCATTTATTTATTTTTTGTGCATTTTTGTGCAAAATTTATTGTTTTTTTATGCTATGGCTTCGTCACATTTTCCAAAATAAATATTTGTAGCACTTCAACAACCAATATAAATGAATTAATGAAAATGAATAAATATAAAGACGAGCTACTCTAATTCACAGTATGCCCGAAGTGCAATGTGTGCCCTTAAAGATATTTTTAAATGCAAAGGATATTTATTTTCATAAATGCTTTCAGTATAGAAATAGGGATTTCGTGAGCATGGCTTGCAGCCAAGATGACGTCACAGTATTTCGGGACACTGATGCTATCATCCCAAAGGCGCTGGAAATTCTAACTATACTCCATCTTAGAAATGTCTGCAGTAAAGACAAAGGCGCAGAGAGGCGCGTGAGCATCGCTCAGTAGTGTGCTTTTGTTTGTACGAGCACTCGTTCATAAGAGGCACTTTCAAAAGCCACGCGCTCGTGCCGGTGCCTTTGTCTTCACTGCAAAAATTTAAAAGTTTTTTTTTTTTTTTTTGCACTTTTTGAAGTAGGTTGGCCGTAGTTTGTTCCCAAAATGACTTTTTGTTTTCTTTTTACACCCTATTTTTAAACGAAGTTTGAAAGTCTCCGCAGGCACACCTGACCGCTACTGTTAATATTCTGCCGCTTTTTAGCTACACAAATTACATTTTGTTTTACATCCAGGGCCAGTGGCGTAGCCAGGGGAATCCCCCCAATACCCCCCCAAAAATGTGGCGGTAGGTTGCGGCATACGGACCCCCCCCCCCCCCCCCCCCTTTCTAAAAAAAAATTATGTCACCAATGTCCAGGGCTAACAAAATGAAACGCACACAGACACAGACGCACGCACACGCGAGCGCGCAAGCACACACACAGACGCACATTCATGCAGACATGCACACGCACGCACACATACACGCACGCGCACAGGGACGTGGCATACACGCGCGCGCTCCCGCGCACACATGCACACAGACGCATGCACGCCTGCACACACCAGTGTTGCACACGCAATCGCATCCGCAGAGGCACGCACACGGACTCTCGCGTTCACACCTACACACACACACAACGCACGTAAAAAATGCATTTAATTTTTTTAACGTAATCTAAACCCTGAGACAAGGAGAAATAAAATAACGGAGAGGGCAAGTTGTTTTGTCTGTTATTTTGTTTATCATTGTCTCAGGGTTTACTTTCGTTCCTTGATCTTTCAAACCTGCCGGAATCTATACCGAAACTACCTCAAGTATAGTTTCGGTTTCTTTGCATGGGCAGCGCTTTGAAGTAAAACCGGTAAAACCGTTAAACCGGCCGGCCAAGACAATCCATCTTTTCAAAGGCGTCGCAGACTCGCAGTTTCATCTGGACGTGTCGTTTGGACGTGTTGACGGATTTAAAGGTGAGATATTATCTGCAACATTCTTTCGAACACTTGTTATTTGTTCGGGAACCTGGTAAGTGAATATAGAAACCTTTTATTGTTTACATTTGATGGGAGCGACCACATATGTCTGACTGTCTCTTTCGTGGTTTCGCGGATTGCTTTCGCTCTTTAAAAATACCCTGTGCCCAGAGTGCCCTCATTCAATTGCATTCTCACGGCGATATTTTGGGGTTCTTATGGTATCCGCGAGTTTATCGTTAATATTTCATTTTGAAGTTCTGCCGTGGTACTAGCGACATGATAACGGGGTGATCTGCTTTCAACTTCTCAACCTGTACTATCGCGGACAAAATGAGCTGAAACAGCGCTCCGACCTGCGCCGCCCGTCGCCTTGCTCCGCACGCACGGCGCACCCTGAGGCCGAGATAAATTCTCTCTTGCGCTCGCTGCGCCACTGCGCTCTTCCGTCCGTCTGCTAGCGAGACGGCTTGTGCGACAGCGGGCGTGTGCGTGGTAGGGCGGCAAGGGGGGGGTGGGGGGTGGGGGGGGGGGGGGGGGGGGGGATGTGCATTGTTGAGGTTGTTCAGGCCACAGTTCAGGCGTTCCGCTCTAGGCAAGGGGTTTTGCGATTCGGCAAAGTCCCTCTCACGCCACGAGGCGGCGTTTTGTTGCCTCCGTCGGATGATTCATGTCCCCATGTGGCGTGTAATTTTTACGGTCACTGTCGTCGTCGCTGCCCTCCTCGGCCTCTTCTCCGTAGCCAAGGGCCTGTGCTATACCGCACTACAACGCGCTTTGCCCTTTATGGTCGATGCTACTGCGTTGTCCCAAGATGTGTTCGACAGTCTCCTCGTCGCCGCCACAGAGTTCGCAGTTTGGATCTTCTCCATAGAGCTCAAATCTGCGTCTCTGGGTCAGTAGGGAGCCCGTTCGAGCCTGGAACAGCAGCGCGCTGGCTCGGTCTCCCTGCTAGTGTGGATAGGGCGCTGGTTCCTTCTTGTGTTTCCTGTACAGTTGGAGGCTGAGTATCCTCTGCATTGTCCTTCTCCAGTCCTCTATTCCGGCCCGTGTCACCACTGCCCGTATTGTCCTCGCCCACTCCTGTTCCGTCGTCACCAGATGTCTTGTTGTGCCCCCACCGTACTTAGAATCTATGGTCTTTATTCTCTTCATCCAGCCTGTCTTGGGCCCCTGATATCGGATGTGGTAGTACATCCTTCTGGCGTAGCTCTCCTGGGGAAGGAACTTTAGTCTGCCCATGTATGCAAGCTTCGACCTGTCCTCTCGTATCTCGTGGGTAGACATCCCATTTCCCCGGTTACCGCTGCGTTTGCTGTGCAGCTCAGCAGCCATCTCCCCAGTCTGTATTGATGTCGATCCAGACACTTTACCACTGTCTCGCTGTATGTAAGCGCATCATTCGCGTAAGTCACTGCTCGGACTGCAAGGGATTTCCATAGTAGCCTCCCAATAGAGTGTCTATTGTATGAGTGCCTGGCGAGATGCCACACCACCCCCTTCAGTTTGTTTGACTTTTTAATTATGTTTTTTTCCTCTTTGGTCAGGTAGTCCTTGCTGTGCGTTATTGTTACACCAAGGTAATTGTAGGCTGTTGTTTTCTGTACTGTTTAATTTTGTAGGTAAAAGCTGGTGTCCAAATTCACGTTGGAGCCCATCCACTGCGTTCTTCCTGCATTAAATTTCAGGTTGTCCCTCGCTGCCACCCCTGTGCAGATGTCAATCATGTGCTGCATATCGGTTGAGGACTCTGCGAGGAGCACCACATCATTCGCAAAGGCCAGGCATGGGATGCGCGTGTATTCTTCCTGTCCGTCCTTGGTCGTAGTGCTCAAGCCCAACCCTGCCCCTTCCTCCTCCAGATGTTTGAGATGTTTGAGAAGGTCGTTTGTGTACACATTAAACAGTGTTGGCGATAGGGGACGCTCCTGTCTCAGTCCAATACTTATTGGTACTGGTTTTGATTTGTAGTTTTCTAATGTGTACCAGGCCTCGCAACCCCTGTACAAGCTCTTCAGGTGTTCGACACTTTCCTTTTCGAGTCCGCTTTTCTACATCTTATCCCATAATCTTTGGTGTGGTACTGCATCATATGCTTTCTCTAGGTCTAGGAATCCCAGGAACAACTGGGAGTTTTGGATGTTTTTCATTTCTATGGCTTGGGATTAACGTAAATAGGTTATCGCTTGTTCTTCTGTTTTGCCGAAAGCCATTTTGAGCTTCTACGAAAAAGTTGTTTTTATCATACAAGATCTGTAGCCTGTGGTTTATTATGCTTGCAAATAATTTGCAGACTGCTGATTATTGCGATTGGTCAATAGGCATTGAGGTCTTTTGGGTCTGCTTGTTTCCCTTTATATAGGAGCTTTACTCTTGCCTGTTTCCACACTTACGGTATTTCTGTTGACACCAGGCGTTCATTAAAACATGTTCTGAGGTTGTTTGCTGCCTCTTTTTTAATTGCTTTCAGGAACTCGTTCGGAATATCATCCATACCGGTTGCCTTCTTGTTTTTCAGTCGTCTTATTTGCCTCTTCATTTCCCCCGTGGTTATAGGATCTAGTATGGAATGCTTCTGTATTTTGCGTTTTCCCAAAGTTTCTTTTTGACTGTATGTCTCTTCCGGGGTTTGCTTCAGTTTTTTGTTGTTGCTGTAAGAAGTACTCAGTCATCCATTCTTCTATTTCGCATTTTTCTTTCAGGTCTTTGCCCCCTCTTTGCAGCATACGTGTCTGTTCTTTCTTTTTTTCTGCATGCATTGTAGTAATTTGTCTCCAGAATGTCTCGTTAGATTTTTTCCCCTTTTTCAGTATGTCTTCCTCTGTCTTTCTGCAGAACTGTTGAATTTTTGTGGCCACTATACTTTGTTTCACCTTGTGTTGTACCGCAGGAAAGGCTACAAGCGCGAGCTCCTTGCTCAATGGCACACCTCGGCGGCACAAGCTCTCGTGCACCAAGGGCAGCTGCCAACGCTATGAGCTCACACTTCTAGCCTTCGCTGCGGTACAACATGAGGTGAAACGGGGTATAGTGCCTTCACTCGAACTCTTTGTTCTTCAAAACATTCCCACAGGTAGTCTTGGGTGTAGCCTTTTCGTTGTGCCCACCTGTGCTGCCTGTTGATCTCTCGTCTTCCCAATTGCCTCCTTTACCTCCTGTCGAACCAGGGCCTTCGGTTTTATTGTTTCCCTTTCCTGGTTTTTTCCACTTGTTCTTTGGCTGTTTGGGTAATTAGGCTCATTAGTTCTTCATATGTGTTGTCTTTTGTAATTTTTTTCTCCAATTCTGATGCAAATTTTTCTATTTTATGTTCTGCTCCTAGCTTCCAGTGGTTTTCCTGGATGTTTTTATTTTTTTCTGTCTTTGGTTGTTGGTGTTTAGTTTTAGCAGTATTCTGTTATAATTGCTTGCACAGCTGCTTACCTTGCTCTCGTCTATGTGTATAGCATCTAGATGTTTTCTTTGCCTGCCTCGTCGTTTATGAGGATATAGTCAATTGTTGATTTTTGGTTGTTGCGGCTCCAGGTTGTTTTTCCCTTGCATTGTGGCTCCAGGTTAACTATAGTTAAAGGAGGGGGGTTCAACAATTTTATGGTTAAAAGAATTTGCATCTCCTCATTTTTATGCTGTTTATCGTGCCCCGGGGGATAGAGAAACCATTTCCTTCCTTCAAAATGTTGCGATTCCGCTGCATAATTGCAAAGCAAAAGCCGAGCTTTTTCCCCCACTTGCAGCCGCAAGTGGCAGCCGGAGGAACTACGGCTAGAAGATTACGTGACTTCGCTCGGCTCTAAGCTGCAGCCTAACGCCCGCTATTGTCAGCAGAGAGAGGGAGAGGAAGTGTCCTCCGAGACAGCACACGGGAACCCACACGGCACTCCGAAGGACGTCACTAGGAGGGGGACCCGGTGTGACCCTGAAGACTGGAAGTGAGTTGAGGGGTGCCCGAAATGCCAATATTTATCTTTTTTTATGCAACAACTAGGACACGCTGGAGAAATCGGTTTTCTGTTTGTTACTTCAGAAGTGTCAGAGGGCAACTTCCACAAATTTTTGACCGAAGTCCGGAAATCGTTGCACCCCCCCCCCCCCCTTTATGCTGTGTTTTTTTACTAGTTTCCTGAGTTCTGCTGCTTTGCTTTCCCTACCATCCAGTTCTAATATATGGCAGTTAAAGTCACCCACAATCATTATCAGTTCATTTTGGAAGGTTGAGCCAATGTCTTTTGAGATGCAGTCGTAAATTGATTTGTTCCATGCCGGATCTTCATTTGCCGTTGCCGAGTAGGTTGTGGAGATGGCGCCACTTGCCCTCGAGGCTTCCAGCGCTCCCTCAATGGTCTAACCCGAGCGACTGGCAGCAAAGTTACAATACCTGACAAAAGTATTGTATCCTTGTCCCCAACTTTGTCGGTTCTTTATAGAAGGAAATAAAACTAACTGAAAAACCTAAAATTGTAGTCACTTGAATTTTTTTTTTTTCTGTGAAAAGGCATTTTGATAAGTACCGAAGCAGACATCATCTGCTTCTGTCCTCGCGAATGCCAACAGTCGTTTACATGCACTTGCATTAATTGCTTATGTTCAGTTTTATTTTATAACCAACTAGCGTTCCTTAAACTGCAGTTAACGCGTGAACAACATAGTCTGGGCCCGTTTGCTCAAAGCGCTAACAGCGGCTAAAGTTTGCCGCAGTACCTAGGAGAGGGATTATTATATCACGTGACTGGCTCGGTAAAGATGCGGGGAAACATGGCGGTGCCCCGGTGAGTGAGTGCCGCTCGCTTTGGAACTAATATGTCGTTGTAGCTTTAATATCGGGCGCGTTAGTCAGCAACAAATGGTGCGGGAGGCTTTCACTTTGCCTTACCTTACTTAAATCGCAAAGCATGAGCAATGACCTCGCCGCATTTTCTTATAGTCTTTTGATTCTGGCCATTACTAAGCCTAAATGAACGCAATAATTGTCGGCATGGCAACGTCTTTGGAGAGCGGATTGCCTTGACTGAATCGGCCGGGTATTGATAGCACACAAAAGCAGACAGCGTCCCATTAGACCTTTTTCTAAACAACCCAAGCATCGAGAACAACGCTGGAAGTGTAATTCTACGGTCCGCGCGCGCTGGCCTTTCTCTTATAAAAGATTCAAAGTAAATAAACATAATAAGGCTTTGACGAACGTGCGTGCAAGGCAAAATTTGTTTTAGACTTTTTGCTTTTGAACAATTACTACTGCAGACGCCAGCACGTGCAATGCCTGTAACTGCACTCGGTGCTTGGGAAATTTAGAAAAAGGTCTATTGGGACGCTGTACAAGCTTGCACAGCGTCTTTGCGGAGCAGAGCCGCTGAGCTGCTTCGCCTAACTACACTTAGCCGCCTAACTCCACAAACAATTTTGTTCTTAATGTCCCTCAAGTCGGGTAAGCAAATGGCAAAATTAAAAGTGTCCTAATGTCACTCTTATTTATTTTGCTTGGGGTACATGTGAACGAATAAAAAAAAATACACCCGTTATGTGGCACACTTACCTTTGGTAATGGAGCATTTCGCATCATTGGTGATTTCCTTCTCTTGCGATTAGAACGTGCAAACACTGTTGAAATGGCAGTCTTCTGCTTCAGCTTCATCCAGCCATCTGCGCGATTTTGCTCAAACTGGGATTCTTGAAAGTGCCTAGAAAAATATAATTTATTTTACCTTATAATGCCCTATAATTAATGTTTACATGCTTAGTTGCTTTATGTACATTAAATCCAGGACACTTATAACTTTCAATTTACTTAGCAGTCACTAGTTTAAACAGGGCTGTCATAACCAGGGCCCCTTAGATGTTGCAGATAGTGAACATGAGAAATGCACATAATTAAAATTAACTTTGCCGTTTTGTTTCATTTAAATTCCATGTGCTCGTATATCTTTATGCAACAAACAAAGATCATAGCTTTAGTGATCGCACCATGCTTATCTTGATTGCAACGAACTAATTATGTCTCACTTTTCTTGAGTTGAGCCAAAGTTTGAACTGCATATATGACCAGATCAATGCTATTGACAGTAATTTATAAAATCATACCGTCTGTAATCGTAGCTATAGATGCGATCACGCAAGGCACAAGTGATCATTTCCATAGTGGAAAGTTTTTGGAATAAATGAAAAGATTCTTACCTCAGAAAGTCGGGAACCAGCTGTTGGCGTCCACGTGTCGCGCTTTATTTTTATTAGCCAGAGTTTCCCTCATTTTTTTCTTTCGGAATAATAAACAACTGAAAGCCGTCATGGCTGCTGTTAGAGCACCCGATGGCGCAGCAACAAATCATTTTTGTCTTTGAAAATAAAAGCTCAGAAAATCAAGGAGCCGGTAAACCTCCAGAGTAGCCTATGCACGCGTACGGGGAATAAGAACAAAAATGGTGGTCAGGAGCGTGTTATGTGCAGCGGGTTCATCGTTGCCACGTGGTTGCTAGGGCCAACGTCAATGCCGTTGGGAGGAGTCAAGGGTCCGCATGGGTTCACCGAGGACAATGGATGGCCAAACTCTCCCCTATCTATGGCTCTGACCCTTGGCAGGTGGAGGCACCATCTGTGAGATGCTGTCACAAACAGCGGCATTCTGTCTGCTGCTTCTCAGGGACGGCGTCTTATAGTCAAAAACAGTTTTCCACCTCTAACTTTTTATTCTGGTAATGATATGCGTTAAAACTTGAGCATCTCGCTTGAATGGCTGCGGCTATGTTCTAACGGAGTTTGAGCTTTCTCCAAAGTCTAGTTTATTTTTGCGGTACAAAAACCAGGGTTCGATTTTTTTCATAGACGTTCTGTACAATAAGCTATTGCACCCTCCTCCTTGCTAAAAGTTCTAGTTAAGGTTGTTTTACTTATTATATGGTGTGTCTCTCTTCATGACATAAACTAAAGTGAAGTCTGAATTTTGTAATAGGTGCCACCCTGACCAGGCTGAAGCTGACATGATTAGCAAGCATCGTAGCGTGAGTTGAGTGAAATGACAGCATATATTGACTACTGTGTGGATGTCCGTGCTTCGTGGCAGTCATACGATAACAGTTGTCTTGACGTCACTTGTGTTGATGGAAGGTTGCCCTATTATGTCATTACGAACTATTATTTATTTTTATTCATTTGGGGAGCTCGTGGGCCATTACAGGGAGTAACTTTGTACAGCATCCTTGTCTAAGGGCTATACCATATTAATTTGCTGTTGTGTTTCCTGTTGGAGGATAATGACTTATTTGCATTGCATTCCAAATCTCACTTTTTAATTACTTCAATAATACTTAGTAGCTGGCATTTGATGTCAGCTTCTGCCACATCAACCCATGACCTTTGATTGTGTGCCAAACACACCACTAAATAAAAATGGCTTCATTATTACGTTTCGTTCCTCCATTGCATAGGATATGGGAATCCCAGCAATTACATTCTCCAACTGTATTTTGTAATACTCACAATTTCAAATTATGTTAACAATTTTATAAACCTCCGAGTCACTCGTTAACTGATCAATTATTTAAATAAATGTCAACTGTTAACCGGTTGCAAGTTTGTAATTAATGCACAGCCCCACACTGCATTACTGTTTGTGTATAATATAAGGAAATGTTGAGTAAACATACAGGTTATTTAAATAACTTTTATGTCTGACCCATTATATTCAGTGTTTTCTAGATAAGTTTGAAGTTATATAAGAGAGTGCTCATCTTAAAATTAAGCCATACCACTGGATGTACACTAGTGTGTGACCTATACATATGTTCCCAGCGAAATGAAAGAAGTCATTTAAGAAGGACTAACCACTTGCTTTGCTGTTTGTCTTGTCTTCTTTTAGGTGCATGGGTGTTTACGTCTAAAAGTGTTAAAGTGAAATTTGCTGCAGGACTGGTTTTCCTGACTCAGCTGGCTTGTCTGGCAGCTTGCAACCTATGGGAACCTGAGGAACTGCATCACAAGAGTGAAAGGGACGCCCACCTAGCACTTCTTCGAGGATGGTGCCTTGAAGAAGGGAGGACTGCGCCTAAAGTGAATGCCATGGCAGGTGGGTCATTACAGTGAACCCCTAGCACAAATAATCCCAAACAAAAAATTATTAACAAATGGGTTAGAAGCAAAGAATGGAAATATGTAAAAAGAGGTGGAGGTGAACACACCATAGCACTGTGCTTTATGTGTCTGTTCTCTTGTGACATTTGCACCGTTTTTTGTTTTTGTCTTAAATGATGGTTTATCATTTAGTCAGTATCAACACTAGTGAACAAAAGTATGCTCTCATCATTCCTATGAATTAACTGTGTGCTTGCAACTTAATCACAAAAATTGTTTATGCTTGTGTCTAGAAATGTAACTCGTAATCTATTAAAGGGACATTGATATGGTGTTTATGCTTGTTGAGGTTTTTGTTTAAACATGACCTACGATATTCCAACTACCCAGAACATTACTTGCGGATCCAAATTTGTTTGTTTCTGCTCAAAAACAGCCATTCTTGAATTGGTTGCTTGCTATCACATTCACTCTCTTTTTCATGGTTATCTGGGGTTTAAACTGTATGTACCAAATATATTCAAAGTTTTGCATCATCTAAGGCACACACGCAACATTAAAAAAAAAAAGAATATGGACCCCATTTTTGTGGTCTCCAAAAGCCAGCAAAACTGCTGATTGAAAAAAAAATCTTACACAGATCACAGGAAGTACGTATGCATATCATATTCAATACAGTGACGTACTGCGGGCGATGGTGACGCATGATGCACCAACGTTGCGACGGATGAGGGGTCTTTACTTCGGAACGGTCATTTGTGATACCAGCCAATTGATCTTCAAGCGCAGACATTGAGCGTTTGTCGTGCGAAATAATCGCACGACAAACGGTGCACGCAAATTCGTCGTCATCGTCTTTTCGGTTTCGAACTGCAGAGTTTTTTGGCTTTATTAAATATATACGTGGCTGTGTAGTAAAATATTTCCTGGCTAGTCTCTTGACACAAATTAAATCGCTTGGGCGTGTTAGTGTCTCTTTTAGGGCGTGTTAGTGTCTCTTTAAAGAACAAAACCGAGGTGCAAGCTGGCACAGGTTAAACAAGGTGAATCACCCAATACAGTAGTAGGGATTCATGAAGGATGATGCAAACACTGAAGTCTAAAAGAATGGGCTAAAAATAAATAGGCAACCCTGAAGAGGGAGACACAAAGGCACTCTTTACAAATATTATTTTCCTGCTTACAACCACCCTACAAAGGGAATTCGTTCCCGGATATTGCAGCCTTCTACTGTACGCAACCCCGAAGTTCCCCAAGACAACAAATGAAACGAAGCAACCTACGAACCTCTGAATAAATGTGGTTGAAAGAAGAATAGCTTGAGTTTTTAACCTAGGAAGTACAAAAACATCATACACAAGGTCAAGTTTCCAAAAACGGGTGGACATCGAACTTGTTTCTAACGAAAAAATACAGGCAAAAAGCAGTAGCATAGCCAAGAATTTTTTTTTTTTTTTCTTTTTAGGGGGGGTGGCTGGGATGTCCTTTACTTCGGGTTCGGAGAGGGGTAAGGGGTCAAAATGTTTGTGTATAATATTATAGGGTCGGCTGGATTTTGGGGTGGGGCTGAAGCCCCATAAGCACCCCTCCCCCTCCCTGGCTACGTCCCTGTACGCCTGTTCCACTCAGAGTCGAAACACAGAAAGGGCTTAGTCAACGCATTTCTATGCTTTATCAATATTATTATTATTGATTCTTGCAGTATATGCTTGTAGTCATTCCCTTCGGTCAAAACTATTTCAGCAGGATCCCATAAGGGCGCACAAATATTACATTTATTCAAGTGGTTTTTTTTGTTGCTTTTCTTGCAGAATTTGTTGCAAAGATTGCATAAAAACAGGGGTCAGTATTTGGAACTGTGAAAACATTTGAGGGAATAATTGTTACCCTTTATGGATCTGTCCTGAAAACGTTTTGACCCAAGAGAATGTCCACAAATTTATACTGAAAGAATCAGTAACAAAATTGAAGCTTGTAACTGTGGTGAATAAGTCTTTCCTATGCTTTGACTGTGAGTGGAAGAACTTTTTTAGCCTATATCATTTTCCCTAGAACCAGGCTTGATGTCCCTCTCTTTTAGGAAGTTAATGTTGTGTATGGTGCTTTTCTATTTTCTAGGCTATAAGCTCGAGGGTATTCCCTGTTTCTTTGATCACATTTACACAGAGGTTAGTAGGTTGCTTCTTTGTATCTCTGTCCTTGAGTATGTTGGGGGTCGTGCTGAGTCCTGGACAGTGCAAGCTGAAATGTTAGTGCAATGACCGAAATCCACTGCTTGCTGGGCTTCTACAAGAGATGCTGAAATAGCAATAAGAGGCGGTTTGAGGACAAGAGTGCATGGCCACTGCTATGCCACTCTGCCTGTTTCTCATCGTTTAGGAGCACCTCGATTTGAGTCATCTTTATGTTTTGCTATCGCCTAGCCGTGCTTGTTGGCGCCTCAATTATCTGGGCCGGTGGCCTTTGTCCCAGCCCAATAACTTTGTCCTATGACTCAGCAGGCAAACATAATGGTGACTATAAACAATGCCAGGAGCAGCACATCTGCAGCAAGGTGTGCTGTTCTCAACCATGATCAAGCCGAGTCAGGCATCATGCCACTGCAATCTCTTCTGAACGTTATCTTTTATCGCTAGTTGAAGTTTTCTTGTTAAGGCAGTGCCACTGTTGTCAGTCGTCGCTTGGTCATTTCAGCTTCTAGCAACAATGACTGGACTGTAGGGCTGAGCATTGATTATAATTTAAGCCTCATTATAATTGCCATCCCTTAACCGATTATTAATAGATTAATCATTCTCATTCCTTTCCATGCATACTCAAAATTATATATATTTTTGTTTGCCTTCGCTGAATGTTTGATAAACAGTATACAAAATTGATTATGAATCAACTTCAATACATAGTTGACAACAGTTTGAGGACACACTCGCAGTTTATTACTTGAGTTGCATGAGGCAAAGAGGTTTGTTGATATTCATCGGCAAGAGCGGCTTCCTTTGATTGTTCTCGCTGTTCTAAACAGACACTCAATATATGTTAAAGTGGCCAGAGCACATGTAACCCTCTGCACCTTGTCTGGAGTTACAAATCTTGCCCTTACAGTTTATTTTAGGTTAAAATTTCACCTAAACTTTGCCCTTCATATGCATGTACTCGGCCATTTCTCTATGGTAAAAGCATTTAATTTTGATTTTCTTTTGGTTCGTCAAAGTTTTACCGGTTGACCGGATAAACAGAATAATCCAGATTAAAGCAATATTTGATTAATTGGTCGGTTATTCTATCCATTGCCCAGCCGTACTCTTCTATAGAAGGCACTAAAGTCCAGCAAAATATTTTTCTTTTGGAGATGGTTGTAAGTGGAAGTGCACCCATGGAAAGGGTTTCTTAAAATCTCCCTTTATATGTTCTGTTGTGTGCCGCTTAATTAAGAACCTTTCTCTCCATTTAAATTTAGCTGAGGCCCAGTCTTCGGTACATTCATCATAAGAAATTTCTTTTAGAGTGAAACTTCAAGGCAATGTCAAAATTATTGCAAGTTGAAGCAAACCAAAATCACAGAATGAAGTGATGGTTTCCTCTTTTGTTTAGAGAGATCTAATGTTTATCAATATTTTGTTTGAAGGTGCTTTTATGACAAAAGGTGTCGCCAACCTCTGCTCAAGACCATGTGGCTTGCGGCTTTAAAACCCATCACATTCAAGTGTTATTTAAATTTTTATCTTCATCATCATCATTTTCTTGAACCACAACATTATTTAGAGCACCAGTTTTACTAAAAAAACTTCCATTGCCAGAGACTCATGCTCTTATTAATTGTGCAATGACAGTGCAGCCACCAACTGCCATTTCTAGTGAAATAGCGGTCTCTGGTGTAACAAATTAACAATGAACAGTGTGGAATAATGAAAAACAGTCCACTGCTGTTTTTCCAAGATCCAGTGACTTGCTTCTGCAGGCATTTATGGTTTTCCAATGCAGTGTAAATGTGATCAAACCAAAACAGAAGATAGAGATGTGCTGCGTTAATGGTCCCTAGACCTTCCGAGTGGTGATGCTCCTCCTCACCTTTTCCTAGGCAACGAGCGAGAGGACTCTTCACTAACGTAATCCATCTTGGGCTTCTGGTATAACGAAGGCCACTGGGAGGGGCTTGAGGGCAGTCTGCCTCGAGGGGAAGTTGACTTCTTGATTGCTGCTACTTGGGGACTCCAAGATAGATGGACGAGGCTTTTCAGCAGACCTAGGCTATCCAGGAGTTTGGGGTGGGCATGCCCCTCTGTGTTAGGGACGTTTGCGAGTTGCGTTACTTTCCTACATGGCGACAGCCGCCTCCTGTGCATAAGTTACCTGGTGCTCATCTTTTGTGTAAGGTTGCTATTCATGTCACTGAAGGAAGCTTTACACTTCTGGTGTGGCATGTTACTTATTTGGCAGCTAGAAAAGCTGTTGCTTGAAGTCAATGTTCAGGTTCTTGGTTTTTGGAGGACCGGAAATATTTTCTAATACACTCGACTCTCAGTAACTCAAACTCCTGAAAGCCACAGACTTTAATTTGAAATATGAGAAGTTTGAATTATCGGAAATTTATGGAAAAGTGATATGAGGCAAAGTATGAAATTGCTATAGCAATAACTACATATACCAAGCAGTTTTTTTATACTATCCTCTGCACAGGCCTATTTAAAAAAGGGCACACATAAAACAATGGTGAGGCTTAAAGCAAATATTAATATTGGCCGAATATTTTCTAATTGAATATAGAATAGTTTCTCAAAGCCTTTTACTACTGTTGTGCCGTGCTTAAACAAAAATTCAGCTTAACTTGTGAAGGTTGTTCCCAACCTTCCCCTTGTCCACTTCTAAGCTCAGTTAGTTTTAATATAACTACATATATGAACTGTGGCCTCTGTAAGTCCAATGCCTACATTGGGGTGGCATGTAAATGACAGATTTCACATAAAATTAAACCTAAACAAACGGCCAGCTATCCTAATCGAAGGAATTTATAAATCTGCTTGCTATATGCAAATATTCTTTCTTTCATCTGGAATTTAATCCCCCTTAGAAAAATCAAAGCACAAATAATGAAAGCAGATTGTCAGAACAGTGCTCCTTGCATAATCGGGATGGGTTAGTCCCATCGAGCATGCTTCTCACCTAGCACCCGTATACTGCGGCAAAGCAATGACCACGAGCTTCGCGTGTATTGCTTTTCCGGAGTACACAGGTGCTCGATGAGAAGCGCACTCAACGGGGCTAACCCTCCGCAATGAACAAATAGTGTGAATGGAGCGAAAACATTGTTTGAATTAAACAGCTTATAGATGCATTAAAATTTAGGGAAAAAACTAAATTTGTAAATTTGTTTGAATTAATGGCAGTACGAAATATCAGAGTTTGAATTATTGCGAGTCCACTGTACTTTTTTTAGTTCAGACAAAACAGTATTTAGTGGCAGCTCTCAATGCAAATAGTAGTGGTTGTATACTTCATATACTTTTTTTCAGGTGCCGTAGTTTCACAGTTTTAGAGGATTTTAAACGATCACATGAAATTGGTAATACAGCACATCATTATGCTGTAACTCGCCTCTGGCAAGCACATTCCAGTGTTACAAGCAGATTATACTTTTTCATGCAGCCATATGAGTGGCAACTCTTCGATTTTCTGCTTGTCTAGTTTGGTAGAAACATTGTTCCAAAATGGTGACATGAAAAGAAGCTATTAGTCTAAATTAAATTTTGTTTGTCTTGATCCTATAAGTGAATTGCTCTCATATCATTTTGCAGGCAATGTGCTGAGGCTTGGGCCATGTGGAACTGGAGGCAGCCAAGTCATCAAAGAAGATAGGACTTCGGCTCATTCAGAAACCATGTGAACTACGGCACAAGAGGCCCAGGGCACCGGAACAGCTGGCTGAATAAACAGCTAAGCCTTTCAAACATTGAAGTGTGTGCTATCCCAAGGGGAGTAGTTTGAAGGGGATTAGAGTTTTAGACCTCAAGGCAAATAAATGTATTTTTTCCTTCCAAAGGTTGGATACTTCTTGAACAGCCCTGATTCAAAAATACGAAAGAGTTATACAAAGAAGGCGGACAGGACAAACATATTTCGAATTTCAACACATTGGTGTCTTTTTTTGCTGGTATAAATTGACTAACCTGGGGACATGCACTTTTAATCTGACAGTGAATCGAACTGATGACCCTTTCTTCCAGTGTCCATTGAATTCATGATCAGTTAACCAACAGCCTGGCCACCAACACCTTTGAAATTTTTGGACTAGGCAATATATATATATCCTTCGGAGACTATATTCTTGTGAAATCGGTAAACTGTTTCTTTGTTGTTTGTTTGCCTAGTAGATAACATACACTGTAAATGACACCAATTTTTTTTGTACGGGGAGACAAGAAACATTGCACATCATTTGTGCCAGACTTCGGAGGTGGTTGTTGGAAAGCTAGTGCAACTGCAATTTAGCCTAGACTTTGATTATCATGAGCAATTGCAACTAGGTAGGTTTTTGTCAATCTTTTTTCTTTTTGCACAGCGAAGCAGCAGGTGCTGTAACATGAAGGTTCAATAAGAATGGGTGCGTCATATGATGTTCAGATCACAAAGACCTCTATCTGGATGCCTCCTAGCTGATCCACCCCAGTGCCTTGAGTGCATTACAGTGATGCCTAGAGCTTGAGTATTGCTGCCTGCAACATGATGAACCTACAAACACAAACATCTGTTCTCGCATGTTATTTTGCCTTTAGATTGGGGAGAAAACTGCCGTCTGCTATACCTTTAGTGGCAATGAAAATGCCACAGCTAGCATTATTTGCCCCATGGCCGAGGTGAAAATGACCTTCGGCTATGCCTTTTCTGGCCAGGCAAATGTCACATTGTTTTTTGCTCAATGGCCGAGGTGAAAACAAAGCCAGGCTAATGCCGCGTCGGTAATTTCTCCATGGCCAGGCTGAAAACGACCCTCGGATATACCTTTGTGGCCTAGCAGATGCCGGCCCTCATTCTTTGCTCAATAGCCGAGAAGAAATCAAGGCCTCGGTGGCCTAGCAAATGCCGGCCCTCGGTCTTTGCTTAATGGCCGAGGTGAAATCAAGGCCTCGGTGGCCTAGCACATGCCGGCCCTTGTTTTTTGCCCAATGGCCGAGGTGAAAACGAGACCTCGGTTATACATCTGTGGCCAGGCTAATGCCGCGTCGGTATTTGCTCCGTGGCCAGGCTGAAAACGACGCTCGGATATACCTTTGTGGCCTAGCAGATGCCGGCCCTCGTTCTTTGCTCAATGGCCCAGATGAAATCAAGGCCTCGGTGGCCTAGCAAATGCCGGCCCTCGGTCTTTGCTTAATGGCCGAGGTGAAATCAAGGCCTCAGTGGCCTAGCACATGCCGGCCCTTGTGTTTTGCCCAATGGCCGAGGTGAAAACGAGACCTCGGTTATACATCTGTGGCCAGGCTAATGCCGCGTCGGTATTTGCTCCATGGCCAGGCTGAAAACGACCCTTGGATACACCTTTGTGGCCTAGCAGATGCCGGCCCTCGTTCTTTGCTCAATGGCCGAGGTGAAAACGAGGCCTCGGTGGCCTAGCAAATGCCGGCCCTCGGTCTTTGCTTAATGGCCGAGGTGAAATCAAGGCCTCGGTGGCCTAGCAAATGCCGGTCCTTGTTTTTTGCCCAATGGCCGAGGTGAAAACGAGACCTCGGTGGCCTGGCAAATGCCGGCCCTCGTTTTTTTGCCCTGTGGCCGAGGTGAAAACAAGGCCTTGGCAACTGGGCAAATGCCGGGCTAGGCCCTTCCTTGGTGGCCAACATGTAAAAAAATACCTTGGATGGCCGGGAGTTTGCCGAGCACTGCCCTTTGCCAATGGCCGAGCTGAATTCGAGGCATCGGTGGCCTGGCTTTTGCCGACCATGGTTTTTGGTTGTCCACCGAGGATTTGCCGGTGGCCGACCAAATTGATTGTTGGCCTAGCAATGGCCGAGGCATGGCCGATGATTTTAGAAAATTCTGTGCTACTTGGGCAGCGTTCTCGTGGTTAGCTTTCTCGCATTGCTCCGGTGCACGTGGAAACGCGCCTGTGCTCTCGCGGTAAGCCTTTCCACATTGCCCCGGTTCATGCGGAAAGCACCAGCGCTCTGTTGGCAACCTTTCCCGCGTTGCGCCGGTGCACGCGGAGAGACGCCAGCGTTCTCGTGGTTAGCTTTCTCGCATTGCTCCGGTGCACGTGGAAAAGCGCCTGTGCTCTCGCGGCAAGCCTTTCCACATTGCACCGGTTCATGCGGAAAGCACCAGCGCTCTGTGGGCGACCTTTCCCGCGTTGCGCCGGTGCACCCGGAGAGACGCCAGCGTTCTCGTGGTTAGCTTTCTCGCATTGCTCCGGTGCACGTGGAAACGCGCCTGTGCTCTCGCGGCAAGCCTTTCCACATTGCCCCGGTTGATGCGAAAAGCACCAGCGCTCTGTTGGCGACCTTTCCCACGTTGCGCCGGTGCACCCGGAGAGACGCCAGCGTTCTCGTGGTTAGCTTTCTCGCATTGCTCCGGTGCACGTGGAAACGCGCCTGTGCTCTCGCGGCAAGCCTTTCCACATTGCCCCGGTTTATGCGAAAAGCACCAGCGCTCTGTTGGCGACCTTTCCCGCGTTGTGCCGGTGCACGCGGAGAGACGCCAGCGTTCTCGTGGTTAGCTTTCTCGCATTGCTCCGGTGCACGTCGAAACGCGCGTGGGCTCTCGCGGCAAGCCTTTCCACATTCCCCGGTTTATGCGAAAAGCACCAGCGCTCTGTTGGCGACCTTTCCCGCGTTGCGCCGGTGCACGCGGAGAGTCGCCAGCGTTCTCGTGGTTAGCTTTCTCGCATTGCTCCGGTGCACGTGGAAAAGCGCCTGTGCTCTCGCGGCAAGCCTTTCCACATTACACCGGTGCATGCGGAAAGCACCAGCGCTCTGTTGGCTACCTTTCCCGCGTTGCGCCGGTGCACGCGGAGAGACGCCAGCATTCTCGTGGTTTGCTTTCTCGTATTGCTCCGGTGCACGTGGAAAAGCACCTGTGCTTTCGCGGTAAGCCTTTCCACATTGCACCGGTTCATGCGGAAAGCACCAGCGCTCTGTTGGCGACCTTTCCCGTGTTGCGCCGGTGCACCCGGAGGGACGCCAGCGTTCTCGTAGTTAGCTTCCTCGCATTGCTCCGGTGCACGTGGAAACGCGCCTGTGCTCTCGCGGTAAGCCTTTCCACATTGCCCCGGTTCATGCGGAAAGCACCAGCACTCTGTTGGCGACCTTTCCCGCGTTGCACCGGTGCACGCGGAGAGACGCCAGCGTTCTCGTGGTTAGCTTTCTCGCATTGCTCCGGTGCACGCGGAGAAGCACCTGTGTTCTCGCGTAAGCCTTTCCACATTACACCGGTGCATGCGGAAAGCACCAGCGCTCTTTTGGTATCTTTTCCCGCGTTGCGCCGGTGCGCCCGGTGAAACGCCAGCGCTTTCGTGGTTAGCTTTCTCAGATTGCTCCGTTGCACGCGGAGAAGCGCCGGGCATTCTTTGTGGAGTATCAGAAAGGTTAAAAGGCCCATGTGCGCTAGCTATTGTTGGAGCAGGATTGATATCAGATGCAGCGTGTTACTGTCATTACTAAGGTGTAAGACAAATGGCACCCAACCAAATGTAAGTAAGTGACATCAAAATCAATTTGTAATGCGAAACAATTTATTCACTTTATTACACAGAATTCTGATTTCCCCGTCCCACTTCAAACTTCGAAAGAATCCTCGGTTGCTTAGTTGTTGGTTTCTTCACAACCGATTTGCACGAGTAGCAACTTTCTCTGTCTTCGGGGCATCAAGCTTGCCTCGTTTTTGAAGCCTTACAGTTACAATTACAACTACCTGAAAAATAATTCATTGCAATTGTAGATTACTTCTAAAAACTAAGGAAATTTCTTTACAATTACTTATTCCTAAAAGCGACCCTACTTGGGCCACATATCTTTAAACCAGTTGTTAAGAATGCAAGGAATATGTTCATTCCTTGCTCCAGCGTTTGAGGAGGCTTAAACACCGCTGAATAAATGTCACGTATTGAACTTTCCTTTTATAAATTTTGTTAAATTAATAATAGAACCTGACAGATTGGACAATGAAGTTCTACATTCTTATATTTTAAACAATATAAATTAGTTCATACACTCGAAGACGCCAGATCCCTAAATTAAAATTGGGTTGAAATACTTTTTTTAGCCAGGCAAATAAAAATGTTACAATTAGTGATATATAAATATTTTAATGCAGTTAGCATAAAACTACAATCTACATGCGCTAATATGACCACATTCACATACAAACGTTTTATGTTATCGTAAAATATTTACATAAAGTTGAAATTATAATGGCTCAAAAATATATAAGAACCAAATCGGGGCTTCCGAATCAATGGTGACAATATTCGCAGGTGCAAGGTAAATCTGAAAAATGCTTATGCATATATTCGAAGTAAAACCAACAGGAAATAAACTGGAAAATAATACAAACAAATGTGCAACAGTCCTGAAAAAGGAATGTAAAATACTGGCAAAAATAATATAAATAACTTTATAGACAATTATAATCTTCAACCTCTACTGAAAGCTGAAGCTCAATTGTTTTCTTTAAATACGTGGGCATGTTTACGCCATTGCTTTCTGCTCGCACTGCCGACCGCGCGACACGTCGGCAGTGAGGAATGATCCAAAGAGGATTGTCTCTCAGCCCACAGTGTAAGCAACCAACAATGCGACACTATTTTTGTTGTGCGTCTGTGTCCATATTTATGTGTGTGAGTGTGTCACCGAGCGCTAGCCCGCTTGTGCGAACGCTGAGGCCTTCACAGAGTTTCCGTCCGCACCGAAAAGCCCTGCAAAAATTATTGTAATTGTGCCTCAAAGTTCGTAATTACTGACGCTAGAAAATAAATATATTACAATTGCAAATTGTTTTAGCTGAAAGTAAGTAATTACAATAAAAAAATTAGCAGGAAGTAATTTAATTACTGC